CGAAGTTATGGAAAAATCAATTAACAAACGGATACGTAACAATACTATCAAGTCTATGCAGACAGAGGGCGAGTCTAGAAGTAAAGATTGTATATGTACGTGGGAAGCTCAAATTGTGCTTTTTATTACAAATTTTATATATAATTTGGAATTAATTTTTTCGTATACCACCAATATTAGCTCCAAGAACTGCCAGCAGTATATGTTTTAGCCTATCTATTGGAAATGCTTCACCAAAGTTCAGAATTAATTCAGGTAAACAAGAAATAACAAGATATGCCCAATCACAACATTTGGGGGTCAGTCATATAATGTCAGATTTATCAATAAAAGAAAAATGTCAAAATTTGATTCTAATAACTTGGTTCCATGTTATGTGATAAAGATAAAGTATTCCAATATTACTTCTGTGATAAAATTTTTCTGAGTGATAATTTCCACTTCTTTTTATTTCATGTCTTTCATATTTATCACATGATACTCACCTCTTAGTGTTTTTTACTCTTACAATATTACTATAATTTCCTACCAAAAATTAGTTTTTACAACTATCTCATACTGCTAAATTTTAGGAAAATGTTTGAAATTAGAAATGTTTTTGTGTACAAACCAAAATTATAAACCAGTAACATAAATTTAATGTCAGTATCACACATAAAAGAATTATAAGTTCATCTAAACTCTATATTAAGCATATACCATAGCTAGACTTTGATTCTAATCTATAGATACATGAGCCCCCCATTAGCACAGTGGTATGTCTGCAGACTTAGAATGCTAGAAACTGAGTTTCAATACCCGTGGTGGGCAGAGCACAGCTAGCCCATTGTGTAGCTTTGTGCTTAATTAATATTCCTTCAATGTAATAGTTCTAAACATTGCATAAAAAAGTTAAATATATATATTAATCTAGAAAATTATTTCACAACTTTTTTCCATAAATTTTAGATCATTAAATTTTGTTAATGATTTTAAAAACTTGAACATATAGACATGATAATTTTATCCATGATGACAAAACCTTTGCTGTTATGTTAAACTTATATTAAAGTTTTTCTTCATTACCCATTTAAACCATCTCCAAGCATTATTATCCACTAAACCATTAACCTTTTTCTATCGGACTAGAAGATGGAAACCTTTAATGTGGGCCATGTTAACATTGCTAGTGTTATCTCACAGCCTGAAAACAATTGTCCGAAACTTTGACTGGTGAGTTAAAAATTTCATTAAAAGGTTGTGTTACATGTACTTGCCTTACTTTCACAAGTGTATTTGATAATTTTTATGCTTATGTGGAAAATGTAACCTTGATAATATAAAAGACTAAGAACTGAAACTTACAAGAAAATTAAATTTGTTTTCCTGATTAATATGGTCCTAGTACTTTGTAAAGCTGAATATAAAAATGCACATTGTTGTATGTATCTGAAGCTTGTTCGTTAAAACGTTTTATTGAAAAATACATATCACCATAAATATCTGTTGGCAAATATAATGTACCATAAAATAAATGTTATGCTAAAGATTCTTAATGTTAAGTAAACCAGGAAAATTTAGTAGATTAAGTAATAAAAAAATTACAAATTACTATGCAGTAATACCTTTCATATAATCTTGCATCTTCTAACACAATAAATGTATGAAATTTATCAATATTGTGTGAATCTGTTGCATTACCCTTGTTGACTTGAAAATAATTAGGTTCTGTTGAAATATAAGAACTAACACATCTCAAGTAGCACAAATGCATTATAGTTGCTGAGTTTTTGTAAGTTTCAGTAGTTAGCTATTTTTCTCTGTTTGTTTCACTATCTAATTTTAGAATATATATATATATTTGCATTTCAATCACTTAGTAAGTAAACTTAGTTTTTTAGTTAATATTATTGCATTACTTTACTGTATATAAAAGAACTAGAGACAGTTAATATGATTCTGAAAGTTTTGACCAAATAAATCATATTTAAAAAAAAGACATCCACTCTCAAGATAATGTGGTAATTAAATTATAGTTTCTTACAAATCTGAGGCTAGTTTGGTCATCTATCAGTAAAATTAAAAGGACAATGAAGGACACAAGGGCACTTAATATTCTATTACATTTTAAACTATGACTGTTGTCAGAACTGAAATTAAGTAACTTGTATAAAATTTTTACTTTCATTACAATGATATGTTTCAACACTTGTTTGTGTTTCAGAATTTCAAATCAAATGTATATTCTTCATTATTGAATTATTTCTTGTTGGTTTTAGTTAACAAAATACAGTTATATCCTAAATTAATCCTGATTTTTTTTTCAGAGATATTCTAAGAAATTAGAAGAAGATGTTACTATATAAGAATAAAATATGATTTATAATAGTTATGCAGTTTATTTGCATAACTCTGGGACTATACCCTCCTAGTTAATAGTTCCTTTTTACATTGGGTACATGTTCATATTACAGGAAGAATGAATATTCCATATTCATGGCTGGCTTGAAGGTCAACCAACAAAATGCCAAGCTTTATAACAATGTGGGACATGCTTTAGAAGGAGAAGGAAAATTTAAGGAAGCATTAGAATACTTTCTTCAAGCTGCTTGGTAGTGTACAAAACTTTTTGGTTATTACATTTTCTCATTTTAAAGATCATTACACGTGGTTTAAAGGCATGGATATAACTTAGACTAAGAAAGATACTGCACTCGAGGCAATATGAGGAATGTCTTGAAATGTTTCCTTTCAGTTTTAAGATTTTTTCTGGGGTAATTTAGGTGTTAGGCCCAGCATGGCCAGGTGGTTAGGGCGCTCGACTCGTAATCTGAGGGTCGCGGGTTCGAATCCCCGTCACACCAAACATGCCAACCTCCGCCTTTGCCTGGTCCCAAGTCCAGGATGAGAAAGGAGGAGGGTTGGGCGTGGGGCTAGTAACTCCACCCCGTAAAAAAAACAACCTGCTAAAAGTAACTGCAACAACAACTTTCCGTTGGTGAGTTGTTGTTACGACCCTATGCTCCACTGGGAGTTTACAGGAATAAAAAAAAATATGTGTTACATATATAAGTTTTTGAAAAACTGGGGTTGTTGAAAAAGTTTTTAATTGTTAAATCACTTACAGTAAGCTTGCACCTATGTTTTGTAAGGAAATTACATTGGTGCATATACTTTACATCTATAATATAGCTTTAAAATTTTTTTACCTGTGGCATATAGTTTCATAGTACTAGGAATGTAATTACATTTGTAAAAATTTTGAAAGGCCTTTGCTCATGATAACAGTGATCGTAAACTGGTAATGCCACTAGAATTCTTGATTTTTATTCTAGAGACATTGTGTCCATTCAAATATTATTTAAATGTATACCTATATACTAGAAAAAATAAAATAAAAAATACTATCAAATTTCTCATGCACTTGCTATAAATTAAATGATATGTATTTCAACTAGTGTTTCTACCAAAAAATCCACTTTCAAATAGTATCGAATATAGTACTGAATTTCAAATATAGCAGCTAACTATATTTTTCATCTTTTTTTTTTTTGTTGGCTACCTTAACCATTGTTCAGCTTGTTTCTGAACTTTCTCTCAGTTGTCATTCTCCCCTTCTATTTGATTTAAGTTTTTCTAGTAAACATTGATGCAAATGATTCATGGTGAGCTAATCTGATACTTGTAACACTGTACCTGGTAAACATTTGAATGACAAAAGAAACTGCATGCGTCATATATGCTGTTAAGCCCATGTGAGATGTTTTTTGTGTATAATTATACAATTGTTTCAGTTTAAAAGGTCAATATATTTGGTACAGCTGTACATGTGGAACATCAGGATATGTTTTATTGTATATCTTGAAGAAATGTAACAAACTTTTGAATTTGTGTACTTTATCAAACTGGAAAAAAACTTCCCAAACTATCCAAACCTTATGAAAGAAAAATTTGAAAATACCCTTAAAACAAACAGTTCAACATTACACTTTGTGCTCTTTGCATAAACAAATGTCAAATGCTTTTATGATCTTTCCCAAGACTAGCATTAATTGGGATAAGAACAAAAAGAGAAACAGGTTTTCTTGAGAATAAAATATTTGCATGATATTCCTTCAGTGCCCAGAAAGATGATATTGGAGCTCATATTAATGTTGGAAGAACATACAACAATTTAGAAATGTTTACTGAGGCAGAACAAGCTTTTATGAAGGTAAAGTGATTTATTTTATTGCTAACGATTGAACAACTATAAATTCATGTGCTTAAAGCTTTATAGCAAAGTCATAGTAAGTAACCTAAAAAAGAAACCTAGCTCACATCTAAGCATGCATATAGGAAATAATTTAATGTGTCTAATCGATTTTATATTTGTACAACTCAAAAAAATTCAAAGTTTCTTTAAGTATAAATCAAGTTTATTTTGCTCAGCTTAAATTCTTAAATTTACAGCATGTTGTACATGAAAATAATTATTGTGAAATACAAACTATTAATAAAATCACAGAGAAACATGTTTTAATATCTCTCTTTACAGGTTTTATTATTTTTTATCTTTGGTGCAATTCGGGTTTTGTGTGTTTTGATTTTAGTTATATCATTTCCTGTATATGTTATGATCATTTCCTTCTCACGTTTGCTGTTTTTTAAATTTTAGTGATTTCAAGGCTTGTGTGTGATTTAATGGGCTTACTCTATTGTTCAGGTCTTGCAGTCTTTGTTTTGATTACTTAGCATTTTCTGTTTGATTTGGTCTTTTCCATTCACAGTTCTTTAAGTAAGTTGGATCTTTCTATCTTCTCAGATTTTGTCTGTGTTTATTTTGATCTTTTTCTTGAGTTCTGGGAGTGTCTTATCTTTCTTTTCTCAGGTCTTGTTTGTATTTAGATCTTTGTATTAACAATTTTTTATATTTATTTAGTCTTTTGCTCCAAAGACTTTAATTATGTTCTGACCTAGCTTATTCTCCAAATATTTTATGTTTTCATCTTTGCTATCTCAAGTTGTTTTCGTTTTTATCTATCCCCTTTTCAAGTTTAATGGTTTTTTTGCTATCTTAGAATGATTATTAAGGATTTTTCCTTGTTTGATTAATAATTTTGGATCCATGTTGTTATCTTAAGATATGACACAGAAGTTGTACAGTAACTTAAGTGATGTATAAATAATCTATAGTGGTAAGTATATTAAACTTTAATAATTTATTTTTGTGAATTATTTGTTGTTTGCTCATCTGTGTTTTGTTTGAAACATGTTTTCTCATCCTTCATCGTTTTAAAGAAGATACCTTTTTAGAAAACAATATGGCTATTTATTTGTTAAGTATCTTTATTTACTGTTTGCTTTATAATTAAATATAAATGTTTTCAATCCCTAAGTTTTAAAATGACTGAGGTTTGAATTTCAATTTTAAACTCTAGGCAAAAGGACTACTTCCTCGTCCCAAAACTGGAGAACCTTACACAGTTCGAATAGCCCCAAACCATCTGAATGTTTTTCTTAATCTTGCTAATCTGATCTCTCGAAATAAGAGCCGTCTGGAAGAAGCTGATGCTGTAAGTTACTTTACATCTTTTGGATTAACACATTGAAATTTTTGTTGTTAACAATTTTATTGTTTTAAAATAAGAACCAAGGTGAATTATTTACCACTTCCTCATGTGAAATTATTATTTAACTTTGAATATATCAACATTGATTATGAACTAAGTCATGCATTATTTAACATTAACTTCTTTGTGAAGTTTTAATAAACACTACTAAATATTACTTCTAGTTATTATATGAAATTGAAACATTAATTGTTACTGTTCTTTTTGATAACTTGTAATAATAATGTTCCTAATATATATTTTGAGCTTTTATTTGCATAATAAAAACGCATGCAAAGGATTGGTTCTTACTATGAATTTCACCCACTGGAACACACATGATAGCATGGCATATACCAACTACAAAAGCACTATTGTTACATTATTAGACTGTTTTTAAGGGAGAAACTAAGAAACTTGCTTGAAGTCATAGTGTTGTTCTTGTAACATACAAAAAAGCACAACTATAGCAAACAAAGAGCATGGATGTGATGTGAAAGACTACATAGAGATGTGAAATGTTTAAATTCACAATGTCTGTGCCATGCTGATGTACTAGACTTTAGTTATCAATGTCATCAGATCTACTGCTCCACCCTACTATGTCAGTGATGTGATCTTGAAAGTAAGTTTCCAGAAACCATATGAGTGTCAGTAAACCAATGTTACTTTTTTTTTCATATTTAGGAATTTCTGCTAGGCAATCTTGAAAAACAAGAGAATGAATATTTCACAGATGTCACAGTATATAACAATATTTGATGTCACATTTGCCATTTCAGCATTCAAGATGACATATTTATTGTCCTTATGCTATGATCATATGTACATACTACACTGGTTTTCATATGGGGTATGTTTTTTGTCCTATTACACATACTATGCAAATATTATGGTGGTATATGTTCAATATTAAAGTCAAGTTCACTTTTGTTTAAATGACTGATTTTTGATAAAAATCAAAACAATGCCTGTAATATACACCCAGTATTGACAAACACATTGCACAAATCTTCATATTGGCTTGTTTGGAGGTAAGGTGGTACCAGGACTACCAAAAACATCAGTTACTGTTTCCTTTCTCAGTACTTTACTGGATTTTATGGCCAAAAATTACCCTATAGGAACCCGTCATTTATCCTTATTATAAAGAATGTCTGATAAAAAAGATAATCAAACTTGCTAGACCAAAACTAAATTATATTGAAAAAGTAACTTATAAATTTGTGTATGGACAATTCAGCATAACAGACTAACTATAAATAAATAATGTCACATGTATACACACACACACACACATACCATAAAACTACAACCTAACATGAATATACTTAATCATCATTGAGTACTCTCACTCTTAACTAAAATTTGGGCCACAGTCCCAAAAGTATCTCATGAGGTGTGACTAGCTTAAAATGATTAATTTAGTCTGAAACCTAAAAAACTATGTTAGCAATGTAACTTTCTCAAATTTTATATTAATTGAAAAGTCATTCTCAAATTTATGCCTAGCTACACTTATGACAGTTGATACCATAATGGTCTTACCTAACTCACCTGAGCATGTAATATAATAAATCTGTTATTCAAGTACATAAAGCTACATAGTTCTGTACACTCACATTATAATAAATATCAGGGTTACTGTTGTCAAACTGCAATGCTCGTTCATATACCTCTTGAGCTTCCTGTGTTCTGATTGTACGTAAGCAGACAGATGAGAAAACAAACACAGGTTATAAGAGAAAAATAGAATCATTTATATTAAAGTTCAAATGGGAATTTTTCACCAGTCAAGAAATATCAAAATCATTCTTCCCTTGCAACCATTAAACAGGTACAAATAATGTGGTATAACCTTCATGCAACAAGGTCAATTATAGATAGTAATAGCATTATCATGGAAAACAATGGCATTAAACGTTTTTTATATTTTAAATTAATGAGTGTATTAAAACTGCAGTAGTCACAGAGATTTCTCACCAACACACAGTTACAGTGTATAAAGGCTAGTAAAACATCATTAGTCACAAAATATTCCTCAGAATCACACAATTTAGCATGTACAAAGATGTAAAACATCACCAGTTACAAATATTCTTTAGAAATACAGACTACTGGGTATACAAGACTGGTAAAACACTAATCAGAAAGATTACTCAAAATCATACATTGTACTGTCTTATATGTATATCAATACATTGTAATTACGAAGAGGTTGACAAAACAGTGTTACATATTTATAGTCGCAAATATTTCACAGAACCTTCTTGTATATTAAGGATAGTAAACACCTACAATCACAACAATTCTTAACAGCCATAGAAATATACAAGGCTGGTAAAACACTATGAATCACAAAGGTTCTTAATAACCATAGAGACAACTGCATATATAATGCTAGTAAAACACCACTAGTCACAAAGATTTAGGATTATAGAGACTACTGTATATATATATAATGCTAGTAAAACACTGCTAGTTACAAAGGTTCTTAAGGCCCATACAGCATTCTGTATATATAACACTAGTATAACATACTAATCACAAAGATTCTTAAGGATCAGTGAGACTACTATATGTACCAGGTTAGTAAAACATCACTAGTCAAATATTCTTAAGGACCATACTGATGACTGTATATACAAGGTTGTAAAATACTAACATACACACAAAAAACAGACTACTATATATATAAAGCTGGTAAAATACTAGTCACAAAGGTTGCACAGAACCACACCATTGCTCTGGTGTGTTAAGGTTGGTAAAGCACTACCAGTTACCATTGATTTTTTAAGGACCGTAGAAAGTACTGTATTTACAAAATTGGTAAAATACCACTAGTCACAGAGATTCTTTATGGCACTAATAAGAACTGGTAAAGCCTTATCTACACAAATTATGACATGTATATAAAGCTTATAAAAATTAATCTAGTCATGTACCTTTCACAAAACCCCAACAAACTAGTGTTGACAAGACAGGTAATATCAGCACTAATCACATAGATTCCATAAAATACACAAACTAGCCAAAGACTGGACAATGTTGATATACATGCAGCTACATCTCTAAGAATGTATTTTCTATGAAAGCTGAGTCACTTCTTTCTTATTTTGATGTCAAATAAAAAGTAATTAAAATAAGTATATTTTAAAAACAAAAATGCATAAAAAGATTTGTTCTTCAGTAAAAGAATGATATATAACACCATTCTTAGCTTTTTACTGTTTCTGTTTTAATCTAACCAATTTTTTAGAATTTTTAATTAGTTAAGCTATTGACAGTTTTTTGAATGGCAGACAATGGCATACACTCACAAACCTATTTAACTTGATCAATATGTCACCCCTGTTGATATAGGCTTGGATGTAATCTGCCCTCATACTGATAGCTTGTCTGTAAAGCTGAAAATATTTAAATATTACAAAAGTGGAAACAATGCATCATGTCAGTTGAGTACTACTGTCCTATTTTTCTTTATAGTTAGTTAGTTTCATTACATTCTAATGGTTATAATGTTTAAAATAGTTTTTGGAAGAGGGGGCTCAGCCTCTCATGCTGATGGTAGTCTGGGGGATATTCCCTGGGAAAGTATTGAAAATTAAACTGGAAATAGCACATTCAGATGACATTTTTTTTTAATATAATCTATAAAAAAATTAACAATACAGACAACATAAGAATTATAATAATCTACATTCATTGGCATTTTTTTCTAAATTTTGTTGGGAGAAAACAATCATACTAAGATTTTATGTAAAAAACGTGTATCTTGAATTTTCAATGTTATGCTCAGACATACATGCGTATGCCTAGTTACACCCATGCCTGTACAAATGTGTATCAGTTGTCAGTTGACTGTCTGTCCATTAATGTTGCAAAGTGTGAAGCTTTTGTATTATTAGTTGATAATAGTTAATTTTCTTCTATTAAATATTAATTTCCTTGTTTTAAGATGCTTGTAATAGCCATTAATTGTTCAAGTAATTTTAGATAGATGATACTGTTACGTATCTGCTTGTTTGTTTATTTCCTGTAGAAATCCTTTCCGAGAAATATCAGCG